CATGAGTTAAGAAATTGGACATGCAACAGTCCCAGACCATGCTCGGGCAGGGCTAGCCACTGTTGCAGAAGTGGTCTGGTAACAATAATTAATACATTTTTTTAAAGCTTTATTGGGGTAGAATTGCTATACAAAAATTGCAAACATTTATAATTTTAAACAGTGCTGTCTATTATAAATCATCTCTGTTTCTGACAAAGTACTGAATTATAAACATTGTTCTGCAATTTTGTCAAAATTAATATAACTTGAGAGCCATTGAATTACATGAGCATATTGCAATGGTCAAAGATCAGTGGGAAGTAAGAAACCATAATCTTTAAACTCATCTTTATGCCAGTAGTCAGTGTAATTTTTCCTTTCTTGCTACCGAGTCACATGTCACAATAAAAAACAAAAGCTCTTCATCCTAATCTAAAATCAGCAATAGGAAAATGGCATATACCCTTAAACAAGAGCTAATGCTGAAATGAATCTCCCCCTTTAGGGAGGGCTAAATTTAGCTTTTTGGCGAGTTGGAGATTCTCTTCCTATTTATCTGTAGACTTGCTTTTCTAATTAATTACTCCTAAACTTTCAGATTATGACATTTTACCATGCTGTCAAATGTTACAGGTATACCCAAATGCCATGCTTATTATATTTAGTGGAAAAATAGGGAAACAACTGAATCACAGAGAGGGTGTCCTTTAGAGATTAAGAACTTAATGTTTGGAGTCAGATAACCTATTTGAAGGCTACTCTACCATTAACTAGGTAACCTGAATAAGTTGCTTCCTCTCTCTAAGCAAGATTCCCCTTCTGCAAAATGGAGATGATAATAATAGTACCAACTCATAGGACTGTTATGTGAATTAAAATTGATAATTTATCAAACTTAGGATAGAGCCTGGCACATAGTAAATGCTCAATCAATGTCAGCTATTATTAAATCTATTATAATTCTATTTTTATGAGAATAATATGCATAAATGATTACAAAATAATGGAAATCTATTTTGGCCTTAAAGTTCTTTAAAGATTTTAAGATTTTATGGCTTTTTATTCATTCAGAAGATTCTTTCTTATAACCTAAGTCTCTTTGTGATTACTCTCAAAACTAATTTTGTTGAGTACACTCCTTTATGATGTTATAGGAAAACTATACTTGTGGTAAATCTCATTCCCATCATCTCTCCTCCAGATTAAAATCTCCTGTTCATTTAGGTCCCTTGATATATTATTTTCTAATGATTCTGATATAGGTTTCTTTTTAAATTTCCAGGTATTTCTCTTTAAGAAATAAATAAAAAGATAGAACTATTTGGTCATAATTTGACTAGTACAGAGCCTTAAAAAAACACCTCAAATTACATTTAGTTTTATAATATGATTTGTAGTATTTTTATATTAGCTCTTATAAATGCTATTGTTATGTATTAGAAGCCCATTGCATGAAGATTCGTTCCCCTGCCTGCCAGCACCAGTTTTCCTCTGGCACCCGGGACCCAGGCCTACGCTCTGGCCACCACCTCATGTCTTTGCTCCAGCCTTCATTCTTCACTTTAGCTGAAGCACAGCTCCTGTAGCTCCCTCCGCCTCCCACCATCCCTCTCATAGCAGGCATCCCACCCTGCTCAGCTGCTCTGTGTTTGCATGCATGCTGCCCAGAGGCCTGGAGTGGCTGGGGGGTGGGGTCACTGACAACTTTGTTGGGTTACTTTATATACTCACTCCTGATTGGCTGGTGGGTTGCAAAATGATAGTCAATTTGCATATTTCTCTTTTATTAGTGTAGATGTTTTGCATGGTGTTTCTCCGAGTCCTTTATAATCCATTGATTATTGGTACTATTTTTTAAAATATGTTTTATTGATCTTTTACAGGAGAGTCTGAGGGCCTTGCTTCAAACAGAGGGCTAGTGAAGTCAACACAGAAGAAAGCATGGCTGATGGAGACCATGGGTGGGAGGTAGGGGGAAAGAATATCATCAGCTGTTTAAACAAAGAGTATAGCCATGCCCCAAAGCAGATATGCCCCTGCATTTAGATTATATAATCCAAAAAACTGTACCTCCTCCATTTATTTTTTGCTTAAGGTGGTTTCAGTTGGTCTCTATTACTGTCATTGTGTTACAGCATTGACTAATTACCATAAATGCACTAAGGAAATAAAACAAATAAGAACATTAGATAAAGAAAATACTGCTAGCTGCCCATAGCAAATACATTGTGAATATCTAGGCAAGGAGAATTTCCACACAGGCCTAACAAAGGAAATAATAAAGTCTTGGGTTATTACAAGTTATTTTTAGTGAGTAGGAGATAATGATGTTGTGAATATGGGAATTCCAGAGAGAGTCATGATCAGGAATCTTCACAAACACTAAATGAGAAAACAGTGATAGGATCACCCTGCTTCCAAGTGCTTACAGGACATTTCCAGAGGCTGTGTCTGCAGGAGGAATTTCTCAGTAGTTGATGTCTATCTTGTTGGGTATGACTGTGGACAATTGGAAGCTTTGTTACTTCCAATTGTTAAGAGCTACTGGGGTCACTAAGAAAAAGATGAATGTTTCTATTGATCATTTTTTTTTTCTAGTTTCTTTTCTCATCCTTTTTCCAGTCCCTCATTATTTCTGGCCAGAACATAGCCAGCCACTTAAGTGTTCTATCTGTCTCCAGAATCACTTTGCTATCACCGTATCTTTCATAGTGTTAAAAGAAAGGGATCCTTTATAAAACAAAATCCAATTCCAATCTTCCAGTGTCTTCAAAGGTTGTTTTTTGTTTTTTTGTTTTTGCCTACGTCATACTTATCCAATCTGGATAATCTGGAGGTTGTGGAGAGGGGCACTCCACAATTTGGGTGAAGTAAGAGAAGCTGTAGGAAAACTGTGGGGTCTTTTTGTGGGCCTCTGATTCCTTCAGCGATGTCATTTAAAACATGTTTTTAAAATGTTAAAATGTCATGAAACTAAGTAAAAAGTCACATGGACTTAAGAAGAAAGTATGAGACTGTAAAAGAATGCTTGTGGTGGAATCTACTGTATTTTACCCAGACCCCCAAGGCACTTATGTGAAAAAGGTGGTCAAGAACCATGTAGAGGGGACAGTTTCAGCAGCTTCCTGACCTGCGTGTGACAAGCCCCTTTCCAGACTAGTCTCTCCCTGGCCCAGGAAACCACTTGTTCTCATAAGACACATGGACTTTTGTGCCTCTAGAACTTTGTTCTTGCTGTTTTCCTGTTGTTATATTAGTGTGATGTTTGATTTATATTTTAAGGACTTAAAACAGTGTGAGAATAATTATTTGTGTGATTTAAAATAGAAGTGAAAGCATTTACTTTTTTTTTTTTTTAAATATGTATTGTTGATTTTTTACAGAGAGGAAAGGAGAGAGATAGAGAGCTAGAAACGTCGATGAGAGATAAACATTGACCAGCTGCCTTTTGCACACCCCCTACCGGGGATGTGCCCACAACCAACATACATGCCCTTGACCGGAATCGAACCTGGGACCTTTCAGTTGGCAGATGGACGCTCTACCACTGAGCCAAACCGGCTTCGGCAGCATTTACTTTTATGAGTGATTTATAGTTTAAGTATAAATTGGATTTCTGATCTTATTCTGATTTTATTTTAAGTGAAAAAAAATTATTTGAAATGTGTTTAAAGACTTAGTATAAGCAACTCCATTTAGTGTAAATTGAATCCATTTTGTAAAACTTAAGAGTGACTTTGAACCTAACTGTGTGAACGCCCTAACAAGTGTTTATCTGGAAAGTTAAAAAGCGAAGCAAAAAGTACCTGGAGAGCGCCCGATTAAGACAAACTGAAGACCCATTGGTTGCACCCAGAAGGAACAAGAGAATACCCAGAAATGGCCATAAAAGAAGGGACCTAGAGGCACTGGTCAGAGACCACGAAGGGGGCCTCCACCTGACGTGTTCTCTCCACTCCCTTCTTCCTGTTTGAAATACTGCGTGAGACTCTGCCTGAGGGAACTGTCACTCTGCCTGTGAACCGAACCTCTGAGGCCTCATTCCTGACCGAGACGCTGCAGCAACGTGTTCCTGTCCAGTGTGTGTGTCTGTCAGCGCGGATCTCCAGCTGACCTGCCTAGGCTTCTGGAAACCACCAGGACTCTGGTAAATAAACCTTGAGATTCATGCATTCTAACTCTTGTTTCTGTGTTTAGTTTATGCTCAGTCAATTTTAGTTAAATAGTGTGGGCAACCTGTATAAGTCCAATCCTTTGGCTGAGGGACCCTGGTCACCTGTGCATACATTCCCACCTGAGACTGAGTTGGAACACCTGTGATTACCATCCCTTCCCTTATTCACTTGGCCAACTTCCTTCCCCCCTCCTTTCTCTATCCCTTCTTCCTTCTCTCCCCTCCTTCATTCCCTCCCTTCCTTCCTCCCTCCTTCCCTCCCTCCCTCCCTCCCTCCCTCCCTCCCTCCCTCCCTCCCTCCCTCCCTCCCTTCCTTCCTTCCTTCCTTCCTTCCTTCCTTCCTTCCTTCCTTCCTTCCTTCCTTCCTTCCTTCCTTCAATATTTCATGAACCCTTTCTGCCAGTTGTCCTACTAGGCCCTAGCAATGTAGGGATGAAAGAATCCTGCAGAAATGATGGGTGGGCAGGGGTAAGTTATTAGAAAACAGAATAATGTCTGAAATTAATTGTTATGTACTTAGCAAGGTAGTGAACATTTTCTATACATTATTCTATTTAATCCTTATATCAATACTGAGAAATAAGTTTTGCCAACACTAAAACTTGCCTCAGTGTCACACAAAAAATGATACTTGTTTCTCTGGCACACAATAAATGACTTAGCCAGAATTAAAACACAAGTGTGTGTGACTTCCAGGTATGCTCTTAGATGTCACTTTCCAGTTTGGTAAGCAACGTCCCAGATCTAGTTTAAATCTCCCATCCTCTCTCCCCCCACTCCCCTCTGAAAATTCTCCTATTAAATATAATTACTTTTGCCCTAACCTGTATTCCTGTATTCTTTATTAACAGATTTCTTTATGGCTATTTGTATAAATCTTTTCTCTCTCATCAGGCTTAGAAAGACCCTGCAGCAGGTAGCTGGCACCTCTGATCCACCTAGGCATCACCCTCTTCTGGCACCATGGACCTGCTGAGTTGGCAGGATAGGCTGGGCCCTGTGGGAAACCAAGAGCTTGAAAGCTTTGCAAAGGTAACACTTGGCTGCCCACGGGCCTCAAAGTGTACTTTGTTTGGCCTAAAAGTGTTTTGCATTAATTAGTTTTCCAACTTTTAGAAATTAAGAGCTTAATCATAAATTCTGGGCTTCCAGCTCCTTTTTAAAAAAAATATATTTTACTGCCCTAGCCGGTTTGGCTCAGTGGATAGAGCGTCCGAGCATCGGCTGTGGACTCAAGGGTCCCAGGTTTGATTCCGGTCAAGGGCATGTACCTTGGTTGTGGGGACATCCCCAGTGGATGTCCCCTTGTGCAGAAGGCAGCTGATGGATGTTTCTCTCTCATCGATGTTTCTAACTCTCTCTCCCTCTCCCTTTCTCTCTGCAAAAAAATCAATAATATATATATATATATATATATATATATATATATATATATATATATTACTGATTTTTTATAGAGAGGAAGAGAGAGGGAGAGAGAGTTAGAAACATCGATGAGAGAGAAACATCCATCAGCTGCCTTCTGGGACCCCTCAATCCCCAGGCTGATGCTCCATCCACTGAGCCAAACTGGTCAGGGTCCAACTCCTTTTTTAAAATTGGAGGATTTGAAACCATCAGTCAAACACTCCTGCATAACCACATCTTAAGAGGGCCCTGCACTATACAATTCCCTATGGTTTCCTGCCCTGGTCTGCTGGCCTCATCACTACTCAGGTAAGCTACTGTCAGCCCCTGACCGTAATATTTGCCACCAGTCTTCTGTGCATTTTCTCAAATCTCTTAATTTCTATATATCCACATGATGGTTACTGTCTACAAATCATGGAAGTTTTAAGGTAAAATTTGAAGCATCATAGACATGTTAATACAGTAGACTTTTCTTTTACAACTGTTAAATTCATTTTACTAAGTTAAGGAGAACAAAACACCAAGAGTAGATAGCCTGATTATTACATAAATATCGAAGTATATATCAGAGTATGGCATGTACCATTTTCCATCTCCAGTAGAGACTGCTCAGGTTTATTTTCAATGGACTTGCAGTCGTAACATAGCTATCAGCTCACAAAAAAGGTTATTTACAAATTACTAAAGTGTTTTTTGCAGTGATTATAATTACAGAACAATTTTATTAATTCAAAATCTTCAATGCTTGGTATAGAGATTTGGGTCAAGTTTACCTTTATATTGTGACAGTTTATGAAAAAAATCTGCTAAGCAAACTTACTAAGTAATTTGTTTGGAAGGAAAAAAAATTGTTTACTTGACAAAAGTTTTAGAGTCATGAATTCTCAACAATTTAACTGCATTGTAAGCAAAAGCTAGGTAATGTGTAGGTTGATCTTTCAATATAATAAGTACAAATAATTTTCCCTATTCTTAAAACATAACTCCTGCTAGACGGTACTTTTTTTTTCTTCTTAGTTCAACATGCAATATTTATTTGAAAACAATAAAATATTGTTCCTGGGAAACACATTGGTTTACTCTGACTTTCCATCATCTCAGTCAGCTCCTTTCCCCAAGTCATCTGACTTATCTGACTCTACTTACGAGAGTGAGTGAAAAAAAAGAAGGCCACAGTTAAGAGTAAATACCGATTAGTCACCTAGAGCTTCCATAGACATATCCATTATAATAAAATACCGTTCTTTAATAATGCGAGAGTTGGCAGCAAAACAATAAATGCCCAAACATGATGAATAGCAGGTTAACTACCTCTACAATAATGGGAACAATGATGCCAAGTTAGCCTATTTTTGCTCAGTCTTGTAATAAACAAAATCACAATTTATAGATAAATTGGAGTGCAAATAAAATGGCTTACCTCTCTTGGCAGTCATTCATAAAAAAAGAAAAAAAAAGAATGTATTTTATGGTGCAGAAAAGAACCTTTAAAAGAGTTGAAATTGATAGTAAAGTCATGTCCTACCTGGGTAACTTTCTCTGTCACATTGTGTGTTCGATCTTTAACCTTGGGTGCGATAATAGTTTTATCTGAAGAAGGAGGGGATGTACTCTTTTTTTCAGCTTTGACATCTGAAAAATTCAGAGTGAGTTGTGGAATCTTGTTAATGGTGCTGTATTTGTTGAGGTTTGAATCCGAAGTGGATCCCAGGAGGCTTGACTTGATATGATTAAAAGGCCCTAAAAAAATTGGAAAGTATTTGTAAAAGCAGTATCAGAAGAAATAGAAGAAGAAAAAAAACAGTCTTGAATGACCTGCTGGTGACCCATGATTAATGTGACCCTGATCCAGGTGTGACTAAATTTAGCCTAGGTGATACCCAAACATAGGGTTTAGGCTCACTGCCACATGGGGTAGCACGTGAGTATCCTAGGACTTGATGGGGTCTAGGTGTGCACCCAGAGAGCAGATTGAGGCGTTAGCTATTATTCAGCTTCGTTCATTAAAAGCTGAAATAAAAGAAAAAGAGAGGGGGGAAAAATCAACAATACTCCATTCTCTGTCATTGACCAAATTCTACCTTCAAAGTTTCTTAAGAATTTCCTTTTATAATCCAGGGATTATTCAAGGAAGGATTTGCCTCTGGTTAAAATCATGTTGGCCATGAAGTTTCTGAATGGGTAGTCTACTTTGCTCCAATTTATATTATTCTCCTCTCTGACCTATGTTTTTTGCAAAGCTTCCAGAACAGTTAAGTCCAGATGAAGGAATTTCAGATAAGGCTAAGAAGGGCAAATGTCTTTCCTTTTCCTTTTATTCTCTTTCTTTTGTTGTTGTTGTTGTTGTTGTTATTATTATTATTATTATTATTATTATCTTATTCTTGAAAACTCTAGGATCCTGTGTGGGATTTTAAAATATTTCCCTTCTTTTTCTTTTTTCTTTTTGTTTAGAATTGACTGACCACTTACTAAGGGAACAAAAAAAAAAAAAAAGAAAAGAAAAGAAATAAAATCTACCAGAAGAATGCTTTGGCAAACAATTTAAAATTAAAGGCCCATAGCTAGCCAAAAGGATATACCTAAAGTTGGCAGTACCTTGTTATTTCTCTCTCTCTCTCTAAGTAAAAAAACAAACAAACAAACAAAAAAAACGATGCTGTACATTTGATCCCAAGAACTTATTCATTTTATAGCTGGAGATTTGTACCCTTTGATAAACTCTCATGATATCTCAAATTTTCCCCCCACAAAGATTATCTGGCAAGGTGCCAGGACTCCTGACCCATTGTTAAGGATAAGTACCCTGTCAAACAACATCTTCTTTTGAGATGCACCTACTATCCTTTGCTTATGAAGATTCAGAAAATGCTCCAGGGGTTCTTGTACAATGGGTAATGCTAAGGTATTTAGCTCTTAGAAATTAACATCAGGAAGAATTGTAGAAAAATCCAGAGCCCACGAGTATTATACAGACATTAAGTTTTTGCTTCAGAGAGTGCTTAAAACAAAATTTGCATGAATGAACTTGCTAGTTAACACATTTTGTCTTATTTTTTTTTTTCTATTCAGAATGAAACTAACAGTTTAGGGATCAAAATGTACTTAATGTACCAAATGAGGTATAATCAGTTGAAAGTTTTATAGTTTGTGTAGTTTAGACCACAACAACCAATCAAATCAGATACAATATAATGCTAAAATAATACTCATCATTTCATTTGAAGAAAAATCACATTATGTTTGTTTATAAGAGTTATATTTGATTATTATAAACATTTGAAGTTATTTAAAGAGAATTTTTATCAGGGTTGCAAATACTGTGTTTCTTGAGGTGCATTTCTGTTTATTTCCTGAATTTTCTTTCTGTGATGATGACCAAATCTATCTAGGTGAAAAATGTCATTGAGTCCTCTGCATATTTATTGCCCTGCATGTTCTCATTTGCTTATAGAGTTTCACTTTCTTTTCTATTTATATGACAAGGAAAGAATTAAGAACCAAAAGTGGTACCGAATTGTTCTAACCTTCAGGTAGGACTGGGACAGAACCCTGGGTCTGTGTGGGACTCTCCACTACATGCACTCATTTATTTTATTATTTTTAAACTATATTTTTATTGATTTCAGAGAGGAAGGGAGAGATAAAAAAAAAAATCAATGATGAGAAAGAATCATTGATCAGCTGCCTCTTGCGTGATTGCTCCTGGGAAATGAGCCAGTAACCCAGGCATGTGCCCTGACTGGGAATTGAACCCATGATCTCCTGGTTCATAGGTCAATGTTCAACCACTGAGCCACACTGGCTGGGCCATGCACTCATTGGGACCTAACCTTAATAGTGTTTCCTTTTTTTTGGTATCATTTTATGCCTATATTCCAAGTCTATGTCTTCATATTTACATTTTTTAAAACATTCTAGAAACTCAGATATCTTGGTGTTGTCCATTGCTCAGCTCTAATGTCATATTTTCACTCCTTAGGTAACTTTACTGTACACCGGGATACTGACAAGAGATTGCTGAAGGTTGAAGTATAAAGTTAAATTGTGTTTAAAACCCTTTTGCCCAATTTTCAATTCTCTTCTCTATCATACTTCCATATGCAGCAGGTTATCTACCAAGTTCTTTATAATACTGGATAAAAATGTGGATCATCTATGATGTTTCAGCAGAAAGACCTTTAAATATACTTTGATTGTCCAGTGACACATTCCACTGGAAAAATTCCACTGACTTGGTTACACAGATAAGCAAGTGGTCTCTACTATGAGAGTAATTCACTCTAAGGACAGCGATTTTCAATGGGGTACTGTGAGGCACAATGATGTGCCACAAGAATTTTTAAAACAAGTAATACTTGATTATTTAGTCAGGGGCATTGACCTCTTTCCCCTTAAATTGTCAAATAAAAAATGACCACAGCCAACACAACAATAGTCAGACAGTATGAATGAATCAAAAGCATACCTTTTTTTTTTTTTCACATTGACAAGAAATATATTTTGGTGTGTCACAATGTTTTAGTAATTGGCTTGTGTGCCATAAGATGAAAAAGCTTGAAAATCGCTGCTCTAAGGGCATCTGTGAGGCATTTTTATTTGTCACAATGATGGTAGGTGTCTATTCTGTCACCTTAAAAAATTGTCCCATAAGTCTCCATGGACATTCGTGTAGGTGAAAAGCTTGTTAATGATGATCTGAACCTTGAACCTGTTTCACATATAAAGTACAATGTGCTTTTAACAGGCTTTTCACATATATGGAATTTTCCAGAGCTATAATTGCCATGTAAAGGGAAGGTTTTTATATTGTTTTATGCAGAATTTTACCAGAAGTTATTCAGCAATTTGGAAAATCATATCACTTAGAGCTACACTATTTATTGCTTTTGAGTTGCCAAAACGAATTGCAGACTTCGAGTTAGAGTCTGTGTATATAGTGGCCACATACAAAAGCAAAGAGATTTGAACCTTGTTTTAACAGTAATTTAAAACTGTTAAATTATTTAAAATTTGGAGCCAGATATTATATAATTTCCAGAGATTATAGGAGTCACACTAAAAATCACTAATAAAATGTTATTTTAAGTTATTTCATACTTGTGTTCTCCTATATATGTAAAATTATGTGATACAATGGCCGGGGGGGGGGGCAATGTTAAAATATGTACACAGATAATAATTTAATAAAAAAAAGAAATTAAATCAATGTGGTAAAAACTAAACTTTTGAAATAATTTGTCCGAGGATTGCCTGTTGGTTTGTAATATCTTCCTAGAGATCTGCCATAATTTCTCCAGAATGTCTTGATTTCCATTTCTTCTTCCAATCCATCTTCTAGTTCCCATTGCTTCTGAAGGCATTTGGTCTGTAAGGCATTTTTTAAGTGTTGGAGAATATATGTCCTGACATTTAGTGAGATTTCTTTCTTCTGTGCAATTCATTACTATTGCATGTTATCGCAGAGGGAATTTTTTAAACATTACACTTAAAAGGTCCAGCTCATTTGTGAGAATATTATACTTCCTCATTTTCTCCCCACTTCATCTTGATATAATACTCATAATTCAATTTTTGTTTCCTACTTTTAATTTTTAAGTATTTTCCACTTTATTTTATTTTAATTTTTTCCCATCACCATTTATCCCCCGTATACCCTCTTCCACCTCCACCTACCCTCCTACCCCCTCTAGTTATCACACTGATGTGCCTGTCCATGAATTTTATTTTTAAAATTCATATATATAAATCCAATATGTTACTACAATACTTATTCCAATAGTGAATTTTATTTTGTTATACACCCATATCTCTGCTCTATCATTTTGTTCAGTACTTCTATAGGCAGTATTCTCATGTCGTTAATGCACTTACAGACAATCTTTTCTTATGTCTAATTATTGTATTATGTCTTCTAGTGTAGTTACCATTGAATATTAACATACTGAGATAATATAAACTGTTTTCTTTTATCTTTGTTTTATTTTTCAGTTAAGGAATCATGTTGTTCTTTTAGAAACAAGTTAAATTATTTCTGATTATAGATTCAGGATAGTAAAATGCATAAAAATATTGGTTGCCATAAGAGGACAGGACTAAGATTTGGTCTCAGAAGATTACAAATTCATTGTAGTGTATATTTTAGCTTCTCTTATTTACTGTTGGAAACCTTTATAAACTGTTACTCTACTCTGTTTCTTGTTTTTTAAGTTCTTAGTGTTAGAGATTTGATCCAGGTGACCATTTAATCTATCCATTTAAATAATTCAGCAAAAACTTAAAATATTTCTTAAAATAATTCATGATGCTCCTTAAATAAGACTTTTATAAACTATTTTATTCTATATAACAAAGATTATTATTATCTTTTCCACTAATTTTGAAGCATATGTTTATATGCAGAAGTCTGTTAGAATGTGCAATATGATCAGTATTGTTTCTAAAATCTATTGACATTCTAAATAAAAAAGTTTCCAACACTTTAATTAAGATAGGTAGTAGCAATATCTCTATTTTACCAATTGTAAAACAAGGCAGACATAATATGTGGCCAAAAGGGAATAAGAATCAAGGATAGAAATCAGAATACAGGGATTCCTACCTCCTAGTCTATATTCAGAGAGGCCTTGGCTGAGGATTTAAAGGTGAAAAGCAGCCTCCCTGAGAGTGGTCATGAACAGATGGGGTTTAGGAGTCTAAAGAAAGATAGGAGAGTAACCTGAAAAACAAAGTGAAATCAA